AAAAGATTTTTCTCTAGACTGTGGTAGATTATCTTTTCTGTTATGACAAAAACGAACCAAACAAAAAACAAATATCATATACTGTACGTAGGAATGTAAATTAGTAAGATTACTTTGGAAAACTGTTAGCAACACTTACTGGAGTTGAAAATACTCTCTCACCCATCAATTTGACTTCTGTGTGTATAGCCGGAAGACATACATGCATATGTCCGCCAAAATCTATATGCTGGAATGTTCATTGTAATATTTTTCATACTAGTTTAAAACTAGAAATAACCCACAGTCCATCAAATAAAAAGAATAAATTGTGAGGGGCGGTGCCTGTGGCTCAATGAATAGGGCGCTGGCCCCATATACCAAGGGTGGTGGGTTCAAACCTGACCCCAGACAAACTACAACAAAAAATAGCCAGGCATTGTGATGGGCACCTGTAGTCCCAGCTACTTGGGAGGCTGAGACAAGAGAATCGCCTAAGCCCAAGAGCTGGAGATTGCTGTGAGCTGTGACATCATAGCACGTAACAAGGGTGACAAAGTGAAACTCTGTCTCTTTAAAAAACAAAAAAAAAGAATAAGTTGTGATATAAATGTTTAGTGAAATACTTTGAAACAATAGGAATGAAAGAATCATTGCTCCATGCAATAGCATGGATGAATTTCGTAAGCATAGTGTTGCATCAAAGAAGCCAGACAAAAACGGTGACGTGTCTGATTTGGTTTATACAGAGTTCAAAATCAGGCAGAACTACATGGTGCTGCAAATCAGGACAGCATTGACTTTTGGGGAAGGATAGAGAGGATTGCAATTTGGGGAAGGTGTGAGGGCCTCTGGGTGCCGGTAATCTATTTCTTGACATGATGGTAGTCACGTGGATGAGTTCACTTTGTGATAATTCCTTGTGTTATTCTTTCCTAATGTTAATCTTCAATAAAAATATATTTCTACTTAAAAAAAAAAAAAAACCTTTGACTATGTATTATGGTTGAGCTACAGTTTTCCTATGTAGGGGACCCTTCTGGTGTTTTGCCTCTGTCCCTGGGAGCCTGTTTCCCTCCCTGCCCCCACTCTGGTTCTTGCCTTACGCTGTGCTCTGTTGGTACTGTGTCCTGAACCTCAGCTGTGATTTCACCTGTCTCTGATGAGTATTTGAATGCCTCTCCTCCTGATCTTAGGCTTCAGGACAGCAGAGGCTGGGCCATCATTGTGTCCCCAGGGACCAGCACAGAGCCTGCACTTGTGTGTAGCTGTTGAATGAATGGACTAGTGCAGCCGACTTCAAAGGGAGCAGCCTTTTTTGCTTCACCCGTTTCAGCTTTTACTTAGGGAAAGTGGGAGTCTGGAGGAGCCATGAAATTGTCCCTTGTGAGGTTGCCTGGAACAGTTTTGAGATTATAATGGCTTTTATAGCCTTAAAGTGTGACCTGTAGGAAAACTCGGCTGAAAGAGGGAAGCAATATTGGCTAACCCTTAACCTAGTTCTGTTCTCAGTGCCTACTTGTCATGTTCCTGGGAATAAACAGTTATATATGATGACTTCATTTGTTCTGGATTTTTTTCATGACAATCCTAAGGTCAACTCTATTTTAAGCCTGAGAAATATGTCCTGGAAGTTAGTTCCAGAGTCCCTATTTCCTTTTTCTTTCCTTAGCATTGAAAGCTTGGCTATCTTCCCCATTCCCGCCTCCCAAACACTCCTTAGAAGCAACTTTGCAACGATCATAACTATGTTGATTTTTTCTGACCTTCATTTGTTCTTTTTCAGCTGAATGGGGGAAATGGCACGTTCTCACTTACTGTTCTTTTTTTTTTGAGCCTCAAGCTATCCCCCTGGGTAGAGTGCCATGGCATCACGCTCACAGCAACCTCCAACTCCTGGGCTCAAGAGAGTCTCCTGCCTCCGCCTCCCAAGTAGCTGGGACCACAGGCGCCCACCACAACGCCTGGCCATTTTTTGGTTGCAGCCATCATTGTTGTTTGGTGGGCCCGGGCTGGGGATTTGAACCCGCCACCTTAGGTGTATGTGGCTGGCGCCTTAGCCGCTTGAGCCACAGGCACCGAGCCCTCATTTACTGTTCTAAACTGACAGTTATGCCAAAAGCAATGCTCACATTGACTTAGTAGGAGAATTTAAGACATGACATTTATGTTTACACTTACTTGTTGGATGATTTTTACAGGATTTTTTCCCTTCTTGTGTAGTGTGGCTAGGAGTCAGGTTTGAAGCCAATAGTACTGGTCCAAATCCCAGCCCTACCACTCCCTGCTTTTTAACCTTTGGCAAATCATATAACCTTTTTGGGTCCCAGCTTTTTCTTATTTATGAAGTGGGGTAGCTATCAAGACCTAACTTTTGAGTGTAAAATAGTCTGCTCAATGGCTAAAAAGTTATGAATAACAGCATTTTATCATGCTGAACCTAAAATGTAACATGTAACTTTATTTTTAAAAAATAATGGTTTTAATATGTAGTATCTGTTAGACACTAAAAGTATAGATTTGGGCTTCCCTTTTCAGAGAATATTTGGAAATTAATTTTGGTGACTTATAAATGATTACAATTTCCCTTTGGAAATGAAAAAGAAAATACCATATCATCATATTAGTTTGTACAATTCTCCCCTCCCCCTTTTACTTTGTAAACAAAAGAGTGAGGAAGAAAGAATTTTGGAGCATCTGATTCCCTGTTAACTCTATTAACTGTCTCCTGAAGAACTGCCCCATGCATAGTTGTACAGAAATCTGGGAAAGGGCCATCTTCACAGGGCTGCTTATGTGTCCTCACAACGTGGTGGCCAGCTTCCCCAGAGGAGTGAGCTCAGAGGTCAAGGCAGAAGCTGCAATGCCCTTTTTGACTAGCCTAGACTACTAACCAGTTTTGCTATGTTCTTTGGGTCACATAGATGAGCATGTACTCCATGAGACTGTAGGCCATACAAGATCTTGGCCCAGCGCAGTGGCTCACACCTATAATCTTAGCACTTTGGGACGCTGAGGTAGGAGAACTGTTTGAGCCCAAGAGTTTGTAACCAGCTTCAGCAATACCCTGTCTATTAAAAAATAGAAAAATTAGTCAGGTGTGGTGGTATGCACCTATAGTCCCAGCTACTTTGGTGGCTGAGGCAGGAAGATTGCTTGAGCATAGGAGTTTGAGGTTGCTGTGAACTATGATGACACCATGGCACTCTGGCCCTGGGAGACAAAGAAAGACCATGTTAACAAAAAAATCTTGTGATGATCATCACATCTTTAATTCATTAGTGGTGCAAATGAATGATATTCTATCTTCCTTTTTTCATTTAAAAACCAACTGCTTCTATAAAGAAAAACTCCCCTCATTAACTGCCTGATAAAATTGGACTAGCAGGGTGGTGCCTGTGGCTCAGTGGGCAGGGCACTGGCCCATGCGCTGAGGGTGGTGGGTTCAAACCAGCCCTGGCCGAACTGCAACAAAAAGAACAGCTGGGTGTTGTGGCAGGCACCTATAATCCCAGCTACTCGCTGGGCTGAGGTAAGAGAATTGCCTAGGCCCAGGAGTTGGAGGTTGCTGTGAGCTGTGACACCACTGTACTCTACCCAAGGCGATAGGGTGAGACTGTCTCTACAAAAAAAAAAAAAAAATCGGACTAGCATAGGCAGGATAAATGCTCATTTCTTGCCCTTCCTTTGTCAGTTTTCAGAGTAATGATTTGGTTCTTCAGCATCCTTCAAAGGAGAACAGTTAAATTTTACTTTTCTACTGGTATTATGATCTCAAGATTTTAATGCATTTGCTGTGTTTCAGTCTGCTGCACTTTTTATCTGTGTTGATGTCTGTGTATTTGTACCCCCTACAGATGAATGGCAGCATACTGTACATAGTGCTCTTGACTTTGGTTTTCTTACTTACGTGAATTTCCTTGAGATCAATCCTCAGTTGTCTGTATGGGAATTCTCCATTCTTTAAAAAAAAAAAAAAAATACTGGATGGCTTGTGAGTTTGTTGATACACTCTCTTTCTGTTTTTCCAGTGTAGGCTTCTAAAGCAGTAAGTTTTCTTCTCAGAACTGCTTTTGCTGTATCCTATAGGTTTTGGTAGCTTGTGTCTTCCTTCTTGTTATGCTTAAGGAAGTTAATAATTTCCTTTTTTGTTTCTTCCTGCACACAACTGTCATTCAACATAAGGTTTAACTTCCATGTCTTTGTGTGAGTTTGAACATTTTTGATGGAGTTGGGTTCCACTTTTAGTGCCTTGTGATCTGAGAAGATGCAAGGTAGAATTTCAGTTATTTTGATTCTCTTGAGGTTTGTTTTGTGTCCTAGGATATGATCAATTTTGGAGAATGTTCCATGGGACAATGAGAAGAATGTATATTCTTTATCTTTGGGATGGAGTGTTCTATATACGTCTATCAAGCACAGTTGTTAGGGTCTCATTTAAATCTCTAATATCTTTGTTTAATTTCTGTTTAGATAATCTGTCCAGCTCTGAGAGAGGGGTGTTAAAGTCCCCTGTTATTATGGTGTTACGGGATTTTTTTTTTCGAGACAGAGCCTCAAGCTGTCACCCTGGGTAGAGTGCTGTGGCATCACAGCTCACAGCAACCTCCAACTCCTAGGCTCAAGCAAATCTCCTGCCTCAGCCTCCCAAGTAGCTGGGATTATAGGCACCTGCCACGATGCCCGGCTATTTTTTGGTTGCAGCCATCATTGTTGTTTGGCGGGCCTGGGCTGGATTCAAACCCACCACCTTAGGTGTATGTGGCTGGCGCCTTAGCCACTTGAGCCACGGGTGCTGAGCCGTGTTATAGGATATTATATTGCTCAGACTAAGCAAGGTCTGTTTCAAAAATCTGGGAGCATTTAAATTGGGTGCATAAATATTTAAAATTATCAAAAAAGTTATATCATGATCAAGTAGGTTTCATCCCAGGAATGCAAGGCTGATTTAATATACGCAAGTCTATAAACATTATTCACCGTATCAACAGACGCAAAACCAAAAACTATATGATCCTCTCAATAGATGCAGAAAAAGCATTCGATTGCCCCTTTTCTCACTCTACGCCATTGTGGTGAGTTTGAGTAATCCCGTTTGTCCCCATAAGACTGTCAGAATCAAGAGATTTTTGGCCAAGAAACAAAAACAAAATCGTCCCATTCCCCAGTGGATTCGAATGAAAACCGGTAATAAAATCAGGTACAACTGGAAGAGGAGACACTGGAGAAGAACCAAGCTGGGTCTATAAGGAATTGCACATGAGATGGCATGTACTTGGGCTGTATTTCCATCACTATCACCTTACCATATCAAGCTGCAAATGTTATCAGTTGGACAGTTGCCACACTGCACTGGGAAAATGAATTTTCTCTTTGTTTATGTGTTGTTCACTAATAAGCTGATGTACTAATAAATACATGAGACCTTGGAGAAAAAAAAGAGCATTTGATAAAATCCAGCATCCTTTTCTAATTAGAACACTGAGGAATATAAGCATAGGTGGCACATTTCTTAAACTGATCTAAGCTATCTATGACAAACCCACAGCTAATGTTTTACTGAATGGAGTAAAACTGAAAGCTTTTCCTCTTAGAACTGGAACCAGAGAAGGTTGTACTCTGTCACCCTTACTATTCACATAGTGCTGGAAGTTCTAACCAATACAATTAGACAAGACAAGAAAATAAAGGGCATCCAAACTGGAGCAGAAGAGGTCAAACTCTCCCTCTTTGCTGATGATATGATCTTATACTTGGAAAACTCTAAAGACTCAACCACAAGACTCTTGGAAGTCATTAAAAAATACAGTAATGTTTCAGGATATAAAATCAATGTCCACAAGTCACTCACCTTTGTATACACCAACAACAGCCACGATGAGAGGTTTAATTAAAGACACAACTCCCTTCACCATAGCTCCAAAGAAAATGAAATACTTAGGAATATACCTAACAAAAGAGGTGAAGGACCTCTATAAAGAAAATTATGAAACCTTAAGAAAGGAAATAGCAGAGGTCTTTTTTTTTTTTTTTTTTTTTTTGAGACAGTGCCTCAAGCTGTCCCCCTGGGCAGAGTGCCGTGGCATTACAGCTCACAGCAACCTCCAACTCCTGGGCTCAAGCGAGTCTCCTGCCTCCGCCTCCCAAGTAGCTGGGACCACAGGCGCCTGCCACAACGCCTGGCTATTTTTTGGTTGCAGCCGTCATTGTTGTTTGGCGGGTCCGGGCTGGGGATTCAAACCCGCCACCTTAGGTGTACGTGGCTGGCGCCTTAGCCGGTTGAGCCACAGGCGCCGAGCCAACAAATAGGATTTAATTAAATTGAAAGGCTTCTGTACAGCCAAGGAGACAACAGCCAAAGCAAAAAGACAACCTACCCAATGGGAAAGGATATTTGCATGTTTTGAATCAGACAATAGCTTAACAACTAGGATCTATACAGAACTTCAATTAATCCGCAAGAAGAAAACCAGTAATCCCATACATCAATGGGGAAGAAAGATGAACAGAACCTTCTCTAAAGAAGATAGATGAACAGCTATCAAATACATGAGAAAATGCTCATCATCCCTAATTATTAGAGAGATGCAAATCAAAACCACCCTGAGATATCATCTAACCCTAGCAAGAATGGCCTATATCACAAAATCTCAAAAGTGCAGATGCTGGCGTGGATGTGGAGAGAAAGGAACACTTTCACACTGCTGGTGGGACTGCAAACTGATACAACCTTTTTGGAAGGAAGTATGGAGAAACTTCAAAGAACTCAACCTAGATGTCCCATTTGATCCTCCAATCCCATTACTGGGCATCTATCCAGAAGGAAAAAAAACCTTTTATTATAAAGATACTTGTACTTGGCTGTTTATTGCAGCCCAATTTATAATCGCTAAAATGTGGAAACAGCCTAAATGCCCTTCAACCCAGGAATGGATTGGCAAGTTGTGGTATATGTATACTATGGAATATTATCCAGCCATTAAAAAAATGGAGATTTTGCAGCATTTGTACTAACCTGGATGGAGGTGGAACACATTATCCTTAGCGAAGCATCACAGGAATGGAGAAGTATGAATCCTATGTATTCAACTTTGATATGAGGACAATTAATAACAATTAATGATATGGTGGGGCATGGGGGAAGGGGAGAGCAGACAGAGAAGGAGGGAGGCGGTGAGGGTAAGGACAAGAAAAAAAAATAGTGACTAATTCTCACATAAATTGGATTCGATTTTGACTAAAGTACATTACTTAAACATTAATTTTTACTTCAACTTGTTAATATGTTGTTTAGGATACAGGATACTGCATCCTCATTAAAAAGTAATTTTCCCTTTATAATAATATATTTTTTCCAATTTTAATATCAGGTATATCCAGATTAAGCAGAATGATTTTGAAGTATTTCTTCTTTTTCTATTGTCTATAAGATTTGGTGTGATCTGTTTTTTGAAATTATCTTTTATTTTTATTTATAAATATTAGTTGTCTATTTTTTGAGACTTTGGGAAAAAATAATAAGTTAATTGATGACTCCATACTGAACCTCAGAGTCAAAGCATTCTATAATAGACATACTCTTATTTGACAATGTGAATGCTACTTTCTTTGCATTACTATTATTGTTATTGCTTAATACTTTGCTGTAGTAATAGTCTGATTTCTTTTCTGACTGTATTTATCTTCATTCTCTATGAAGTTTTTGTTTCTAGTCCTTATCTTAAACATTGTTACTGCTGTTAAATTTTAAGCCTTTTTAATTTTGTGAAGGCAAAAAGTGGAAACCTAATAAACACATGTATATGTAAAAATAAAAAATAAATACATTATGACACCAAAAAAAATGTATATAGTTCATATACTCACCCTTATAAAGTATATAGTTCAGTGGTTTTCTAGCATATTCACTGAGTTGTGCAAATACTACCACTAACCTTGGAATATTCTCATCAAAGAAACTCCCTGCCCGTGAGCAGTCTCTTCTCATTGCCTCCTGTCCGTCACCTACTCTGCCCACCTAAGCCCCTAGCAACCACTAATCTTTCTGTCTTTTTGAATTTACAAATGGACATTTTATTTAAATGGAATTGTCCAACGTCTGGCCTTTGTTTTCAGGGTTCACCCATGTTGTAGTCTCAGTTATATAGCAGTGCAGTGCTCTGCTTTGTGATCTGTCCACATTTTAGTTCATCAGCACATGCTGGTGAACATCTGAGTTATTACCATACTTGTTATTAAATGGCCTTATACATAAGTCTTTTTTTAAATATCAATTTTAATTCCCCTCTATGGGGGTTGTACCATTTTGAATTTTCACCAGCAGTGTGTCAGAAAGTCTTATTTTACTACTGTTTTGCTATAGAGTAATATTTTGTGGTATCTCACTGTAGTTTTAACGGACATTTTACTTATATTTCTCATATAATCAAGACTGATAGAATATCTTTTCACATGTTAAAGGGCTATTTGCATTCCTTTTTTGGTGAATTATCTGTTCCTACCCCTCTAGACTATTTCTCCAAAGGATTGTGTCAAAAGGATTGCTTCCTTTTAATATTATAAATATTCTTTCCTTTCCTTTTCCCTTTCCTTTTCCTTTTCTTTTTCTTATATGTATTTATTAGATCATAACTGCATACATTTCTGCATTTATGGGGTACAATGTATTGGTTTTATATACAATTTGTAATGCTTACTGGTTAACATAACATTCACTTCACTTATTTAATTGTTGTGTTTAGACATATATACTCTACTATTAATATATTTGACATGTACGCTTGCAATATGCACAGTAGTCTTTTTCTTTCTTTTTCTTTTGCCAGAGTCTCACTCAGCTGTCCCAGGCTAAAGTGCCATGGCATTAACCTAGCTCACTGCAACCTCAAATGCCTGGGCTCAAGGGATACTCCTGCCTCAGCCTCCTGAGTAGCTGGGATTACAGGTGTGTACCACCATGCCCAGCTAATTTTTCTGTTTTTTAATAGAGATGAGTCTTAATCTTGCTCAGGGTGGTCTTGAATTCCTGAGCTTATTGGATCTTCCCTCCTCGGCTTCCGAGAGTACTAGGATTACAGGCATGAGCCAGTGCCTGACCATATTTTTTCGTTTCATTTTTTTTTTTTTTTTTGGCTGGGGCTGGGTTTGAACCCGCCACCTCTAGCATATGGAGCTGGTGTCCTACCCTTTTGAGCCACAGGCGCCACCCTATTTTTTCATTTCTTCATTTCCTGTCTTACTTTCTTTAAGATGATGTAATTAATTTTCGCAATATTTTTTCTCATTGCTTTTGGAATTTGAGTCATAGCAAGAAAGATTTCTTCACTCCCATGTTATGAAATACATTCATGCACTAATTGGTTTTATTTTTTACATTTATATCTCTGATCCATTTGGAATTTATCTTATTATATGCAGAATAGGCCCAATTTTATCCTTTTTTCCATATGGCTATGAAATCATTCCAAGCACCATTTAATAATAGGCCTGTTTTCCCTCATTGATTTGATATGCTACCTTTATGATAAACTCCATTTGTAATCATATAATCTGGTCTGTCTCTGTTCTTAGAGTGTGGACAAATGTGGGGTATATTTTGGAGCTAGTCTGTAGCAGTGCTATTCAAAATAGTTAACTAGACAAACTTTCTTGCTGTTTCAGGACAAGTTAAGGAGTCTGTGGGTGTAAGTCAACACACAGATTGCATCACTGAGGATGTCTTGCTACTAAAAATTTTCTTTGAGGTTGATTCACATTCTAGTTAAAATTGTTAGTGTCATTGTGGGCTACTAACAATTGATCCACAAACCATACTTTAAGAGCATCAGTCAATAGTTATTTCCATCTTAGGGGTGAGCCATGATTTATTTATTTAACCAGAGACTTATTATTGGTTAGCCCAACAATGTTAGCTAACATATGGTTAGCCCCCCCCCACAGCATCTTTTTCTAGTATTAGAATAAGTAATATTTCTAAGAAAGACTAATTTATATAGTTATATGTATATATCTTATGATTTCTTTAGGGTAATTCTTCAAAATAAAATAAGGATTTTTGGAAAATATTGACAAATAATTCTCCAGACCGGTTGTACCTTTCTATGGAGCCATATTATTCCCAATACTGAATTATCTGAAGGAAATAAAAAAACCTTTACTAATTTGGCCTGCTCCGTTTCCGACCTGGGCCGGTTCACCCCTCCTTAGGTAACCTGGTGACCATATTGATGCCAAACTTAGTGCAGACACCCCATCAGCATAGCACACTACAGCCCAGAACTCCTGGACTCAAGCAATCCTCCTAGCTCAGCCTCCTAAGTAGCTGGAACTATAGGTGTGCACCACCACTTCTGGCACCTTTACTAATTTGGATGACAAATAGCAACTCATTATTTGAAAATGTACTTGTTTGATTACTAGTAAGAA